CTGACAAATTTCAACTGTTATGCGGAGATCAGAATTGATTCCGAACAAGTGACTATCTGCGACATCCTGTCAAGCATGCTACAATAAATACAAAAAATTCTTCGTAAAAAGCTGTATACACAAAACAGAATGCTTCAAACGACGATGAATTTCTTATATCCTATTAAGCGTGCAAAGTAACAAAATATATGATTGAGAAAGTTACATACATTGAAATATGAAAAATTTATGTATATGCATGAAACACTGTGAGGAGCACATCCACAGCTAGTACCGGTGCAAACACCGATAAATAAGGACGATTACGAATAGAATCTGCGAACTCATCACATCGAAAACTAACTCGCTAAAAATAGCCAACGACGAAAATCTATTCAAACCATTTGAAATCTTCCCTGTCAGTTCTATGATATTCATTTGGATGAGTTACCACGTCTCATGGTGAAGACCGGGTTTCTTCGGAAGTTACGAGGCTGATGGTTCTTCTCACAACCACAGTAACCTATAATATGGGTGCATGGAATGTTCGTACATTGTGGGAGACTGAGAGAACTATTCAGGTTGCTGAGAAAGTGAAAACATACGATTCGGTGGTGTTTGCGATAAATGAAACACATTGAATACAGTCTGGACAACAAGATTGTCTTCATGAAAGATCCTGTTTTACTCCAACCATGAAGAAGAAAGTGCCTCACACAGACACACAAACAACCAGAGTTGTACTAGTGCTGGCAAAAGAAGCCCAAATACCACTTATAGAATGGGAATCTCATGGACTCAGGATCATCAAAGCATCCTTCAAAACAAAGAAAGAGGACATTACAATGAACGCCATCCAATGCTATGCGCATACCAACGATGACAATAAAGAAGCTGAAGATCAATTCAACGAGAGAGACCTAAATGCAAAGGTTGTGATGGACAACACTGGATATGAAGACATCATGAGACGACATGGACTTGGAGAAAGAAACGTGAACGGTGCGAAGTTTGTAAATCAATTCGCCTTCAATGAAATGGTTATACGTGTCACCATATTCGTATACAAACTCATACAAAACCCTACATGGGTTTCATCAGACCACACTACACAGAACCAAATCGATATCATATACAACAATATAAAGTTAACAACGACCATGGAGCACGAGCAGAGAAAGTCAAAGCACAGGCCGAATACACAAAAGCAAACAAGCGGGCCGACAGGAGTATCACAGCTGATTAGCGCAAATATATGCAAGATCTAGCAATGATTTCAGAAAAAGCTGCTGGAGAAGGAAACATATAGCACAACTATATGATACAACGAAGAAGCTTGATAGAAAATATGGCAAACCAGAACGACCAGTCAAGAACAAGGAAAGAAAAGCAATCACCGATATTCAGGAACAATGAAATAGGTGGGTAAAGCACTACAAAGAACTCCTGGATAGACCACTTCCAGTTAACCAATCCAACACCGGAGCAGCACCTACAGATATCTCAATTGGTGGTGACCCACCAACAATTTGAGAAGTCAACATGGTAATCAGAAAAATCATGATTGGTAAAGCAGAAGTACCCAATAACATACCAGCTGAGACACAGCAGTAATTGCAAAGAAGCCGCACGCTCTGTTCAGTAAAATTTGGGATGAGGAATAAGTATCAACAGACCGGAATGCAGGACATCTCATCAATATACCAAAGAACGGCGATCTTAGCAAATGTGACAACTAGAGAGGAATCACTCTACTAACAGTGCCAGGAAGATTCTTCAACTGAGTGTTGTTTAACCGAACGGAAGATTTAGTAAACATTGTTTTTGGAGACCAACAGGAGGGATTTCATAAAGATCTGTCGTGCACTTACCGGATCGTGACATTACGAATAATTGTGGAACAATCAACTGGATGAACTTCATCGCTTTACATCAACCTTTTTGACTACGACGAAGTATTTGACAACGAGGATGGGATCACACCATGGAGGCTTCTTCGACATTACGACTTGCCTGAGAACACTGTCAATTACACGCGGAATTCCAACGACGGACTACACTGCAAAATCGTGCATGGAGGATAACTCACAGATTGATTCAAAGTGAAGACCTGCATGAGTTAAGGTTTCTTTCTTTCGCTCTCTCTCTCCCTCTTGCTCCTGCTAGTGGAAGACTGGATTATGAAGACGTCGACATGTGACAGGAACGAAGGCGTACAGTGGACAGCTCGCATGCAGCTAGAAAATTTAGAGTTAGCAGATGGCTCTTCTACCTCACACGCGGCAACAAATGAAAGAAAAATGGTCAGTGCATCAGCAGTCTCTGCAGTGGTAGGTCTCAACATACACAGGGGATAAAGCAAGATTCTCCGATAAATACAACATGCACCAAACAAATCACACTTGACGGAGAAGCTTTGGAAGATATGCAAACATTTACATATCTGAGCAGCATCATTGATAAACAAGGTGGATCTGACTCAGATATGAAGACACAGATCGCCAAAGCAGCAGCATCATTTCTACAATTGAAGAACATCGTGGACTCAAAACAATCATCAAGCAACACCATAGCTAGAATTTTCAATATAAGCAACAAAACAGTTCTGTTGTATGGAGTCAATAATTGGAGAACTACAAAAGCCATCCAACAAAAAATCCGCGTGTTTATTAACGGTTGTCTACGTAAGATACGGCAAAATTGCTGGCTGGACACCATCAGCAACAATTTTGCATGTGAGAGCACACCAGATTCGAGCTGTGGATGAAATAATGAAGAAGCTCTGTAGGTGTGCAGGAGACACATTGCATTGACAATAGAAAACATTAAAGAATGAATAGTGATTGGAAATCACTCGAAGGGAAGTTCCAGATCAGAGTTGGATTGAGAATCTTGCTTGTCAGTCTGTGCTTTATTTAGTGTAACAAGCGTCAATAATTATGTAATATATGTTACATAATTAAACAAAACTGGTATTATTGTTTAGCTACAAATTGTTTAGCAACAGACGATTGCAATAGATAATAAAATCTTCAAATCACCTCCCAAGTGAACAGATCATACAAATATAACTAACCAACTTACCAATTATGTTGAACATACTTACCAGCTTTTATGCAATCAAATAAATTATGTAACTACTACTACTACTACTACTACTACTACTTCTACAATGAAAAGTTTTATATTATCAAAACTGATTAATTTACGATATAATTGAAGATAGCAAATGGAACTGGATTTTTGTTTTAAATTTTACCCCTCTCTCTCTCTCTGAGATGTTATTAGAATAATTGGAAATAGGGAATAAATATGAATTTTGTACACTTTTTTGTCATTTTCATAAATGTCGCTTTTAATTTAACAAATTCAGCGGATGAAGTTGTGTTTCTTATTGAAAATCCAAATCACTTAACCGACAGATTTAGTTGTAACCCTTTAACATTGTTGTTACTATGAAACAAGAAAATTCCGACGGTTTATTTTCATGACTTTGTTCAATTTTTGTTAAAACCTCAGAAATTACAAAGATCAAGTTAATGCCGATCTCACTCTCTGTCGGTACCAATAATCACATACAACAAAATAAGGAAGTAGACGAATAAAAACTAGCAGTAAATATTTGTAAAAATAATCAGTCTTACAAAATACATTTGAATATATATATATATATATATATATATATATATATATATATATATATATATATATATATATATATATATATATGATTAATTAAACATGCGCCCAAATTTGTTTGTTTTCCGTGTTCAGTTACACACCTGTTCAATTCATTTAATTTTCAATGTTTTTATCAAATAAGTCTGCATACCTTGCTGACCTCAACTGTATTTTATGTAATTTATTCAAATAGATTTCATACTAAAGTTGTCTAAACTTATGAATTACTTTCTATCTCTTAAGACAGTATATGAGATGAAACACAACTAGATAAGCTACAATACACATGGATGAATTTAAACAATCAACTGTAAAATCAGTTTATGCAGATGTGTATAAAATTGAAATAAAACACGTTAAAGAATGGATAATTAATGATGATGAGGATGATGCTGATGAAAAAGAAGAATCACTGTTCTGATTATAGAATTTACAGAATGAATAAACATCTGTCGTTAATTAAAAGTCAAGTAAAATCTATGCATAACATTCGTTTACATTTTTGTGATGTAATTAATATACGTGACTTTTGTACTTTTTGGAATTCTGTGATATAACTTGCTATATATATATATATATATATATATATATATATATATATATATATATATAAACTTAGAGTTTTAAAATTATCAACAATAACAACATTAACTATCAACAGTCTTAAATTTTCAAAGAAAAAGACATCGAAAGCTTCCATTCTCATATATGACTATATTTCCATTATTTTGTATAGTGTTAATTCATAAATGTCTGTGTTAAAAATTTTCATTGAAACATTTATAATGGCCGTCAAAAATGTTTGTCATTATTGGACATATATCAGTACCTATTCACTGATTTAGTTGGTTTATTTGTTAAAGTTACATTTATAATAGAAAAGATATGGTGACACTACTCTACAAATTAAGAACGTTTAAAAGTCAAACGTAATTTGTACAGTTTAACTCATAAATTGATCCTTGATCACTGTTGAAAGCAAGAAAGTATTGGACTGTTGTTTTGTTGTATCGGTGGTTTGTGTTTCTCACTTTAACTAATTCACCATATGATGTGAACGGTCTTCGATGCTATCAGTTGGTGACTGATTAATTCTCATCATAACTCCATTTCAATGATCATAGCTTCCAAGTAGAACTCGGAGAACTAGCTCAAGAAATTATTCACTACCGATTATTATCAGCTAACGAGGTTAGGAGAGATTGTAACCCACCTAAAGCTAACTCAGTTTTCTAAGGGTTCTGAGTTTGATCCTCAGAGTTAAGTAACGAATGCATTCCATTGAGGGATCTCGTACTAGGATGAAATAGGTACCTAATGCGTCCTGGTTTTTTTAGTCATTATATAAAATTAGTTTTATTATAAACTTTAGTAGTAGTAGTAGTAGTAGTAGTAGTAGTAGTAGTAGTAGTAGTAGTAGTAGTAGTAGTAGTAGTAGTAGTAGTAGTAGTCGTCGTCGTAGTAGTAGTAGTAGTAGTAGTAGTAGTAGTAGTAGTAGTAGTAGTAGTAGTAGTAGTAGTAGTAGTAGTAGTAGTAGTAGTAGTAGTAGTAGCAGTTACCAGAAATATGCTTGGAATAAACCAACTAGGTTCACAATCAAATGTTTTCATGCCTTACGTAACATTTGAATTTCATTATAGTGTTTCTCTGCTATAAAATTAGCTTCTGAAACTTCAGGTAATTATGGTAAGTTATGCAATTGTCTGTATATCATTAATTATCAATCACTTTTCAGTTACATTCAGTGGTTGCACAACTGTACATAAACACTGAAATATATATTCAAGACAGTATATTAAGATCTAGTCAATCAAGTGCATGTTACAGTTTTAGAAACCGATTCCATATTATCATTTATAAGTAATTTACATATTCAGCATGCTTTTAATATGAGTAGCTATTGTTACTTGAAATAAATTTGAAAAAAAGTGCAATTGCAATGAGTCGTCATATCAAACTAAAAGAAATAGGATGAAACATTAAGATTGTACAACCGCCTAGTTCTTTTTAGATAATATCTCATTGGTAATGAATAGTGCCGTTTTCTTTAATGAACCATATTGGTAAGTTTGATAATAATAATAATAAACAAGGTGTATAGCTTGTAGATTTAAAAGACATCGTGTTACAAAAGTTAAAATAATCATGAGAGTAAAGCATACCATATACTACTAATTACCGGTCAAAATTACCAACTGATATTTAAAACCATTTCATTTTCAAAAATTTCTTTAAATGAAATATCAGTTTGTTGACTTTTTTTATGACATTAAAAAGAAAAGAACGATAATTCCTATTACAGATAAGCACTAATAACTTATCAATTTTCATAGAATGGAATGTGATGTTTATATAAAACAATAATTCCATTGTAGTTCATTTAAGCGCTTTATTCTAATTTTAAATATAACACTTTCAGGTGCATTGACCATGTGTTCTTCATTCTGAAATGATGTTCTACTTAGAACTATTGAAGTACATGATGAAGAGATTTGAAAATAATTACTTTGTACAACTGCATCAAATTCTACTGACTTCTACTTGTTACAAACACATTGATACAAAAAAACTATCTACAATACAGATTCATATTAGCTAGACACCGAACGAAAATAAAAAGACTAGAAAAGCATTCAACAACTGTTTAATCGTGAATGACAGTCACAGAGTAAAACAAATATACTAAATGTTATACAGTTAGTCCAATTTTTTTCAGCTCACTGTATTAGAATGAGATAAAATGTGAAATCATGTTTTCATTCATTGTGATGCATCATCGAAACCAACAATAGATTATTGTTAGACAACTAGTGAATACCTGAAAGCAGTGAACGATAGTCACGTATTAGTGTGAGCAAACCCAACCCTCATTCGCAAGAATCGAATCCAGAATCTTTGGTCTTGCTCGTCAACATTTCAAATCTAGACTACTCAGTCGGCATCCAACGGTGTTCATGTCTGACTTTATTCAATCCAACGTATTGCATAACCTCACCCATTGCCTTCGGTGGGTAACTGCCTACACCTGACATGGTTGGACTTCACTGGTTTCACGGTTTAACACTAGAACTCGGAGAATTTCCTAATGAACTTAGTCACTAGTGAAGACGTTTTTAAGATTATCATTACAGAGTTATGAAGATTACTGAGCTTCAATTAAATAATGAATTATTGATGAAAATATTTTTTTAATGCATTGAATTCGAAAACATTTCGGTTAATTTGATCTTTGACATGACCATAGATCCAAAATGATGAAAATGTGTTATCAAACTAGAAAGAAACAAGTGTTTTCAATAGTTGTATATATGCATGAAGTCAATTTTATATTTTAATTCGTCGTAAATATTTTAATTAAACTATGATCAGTAAATTTTCGAACTTTATTAAAATCTAATTTTCAGTTTATCCTGTTTGAGAATGTGAATATAGACAAATAGACACATATTGAATGATAAAATATAGATATTGTGAAAGATGATTTAATTAAGACGTAAAAAATTTTAAAAGCAATTTTACTTAGGTTTTATTTATATATCATGATTGGATATTTATTAAGTAAGTAGACTATCAGATAAATATATATATATATATATATATATATATATATATATATATATATAAATTTATTTCATTACAACTTTCTGTTAATCCACAAATTATTATCGTACGATATACTATTTATATTTTCTTGGCAATTTACTATTAACAGTCTCTTCCAACTCACAATCACTTTGGGACCACTCATGTGGTGTTGTTAATTCTCACTTATCAGTGAGATGTGGTCTGGTTTTGTATGTATATAAACGACTGTTTGAAATGTGATAACAAATCTTGAACTGTTAGTAATCGGTCTTAGTTCTTCCTCCTCGATCAGGGAAGTTAGTATTGGGCTGTCGTATCATTATAGAGTAGTAGGCTTCTTATTCTACTTGTATATGGGTTAATCAAAGGCGGACTGCGTATTGGTTAGTGTATTGAGATACATAACACAAGAAGTATGTTTTAAGGTGGAATTTAATATCTTATAAATAATATTATACTTTACAAGCTAAAGAAAAATCTCTCAAATACAATAAGTATATATATATACATTCATTAGAAAGTATGTAACAAGGTCATTTGAAAATGGATATTGATGGTGATTGTCGTTATTTCAATATGAATATGGTTATAAGCAGATGAGCAGAAATAATCAAATAAAATTGTTTCATATTACCTGTGCGTTAATTATTGTTACTAGTTAGAGCAATAGTCAAATTTTCAGCGAAGTTTCCATTGTGATTTTGTCAGTGAATCTGGTAATTTATTGTTGGGCACTGCCAGGCTGTCCAATACTAAGACGAATCGTCTGTCCAATCTTTCCAGGTATTCAGTAGTGGTCTAATTTTAGTCAGTTAATGGTATAAATGATATTGTTTTTGTCTTTAAAAAATATATTATTGATTATCGTTGTGAAAGCAATATTTATTTTAACATTATACAGATTTTGAATGAATTCACTGAAAGAGACCTCTTCAGTCAATTAGTTCTTCTCGGGTTTTTTCGCTTCTCAGTAGATACCTTCCGTATTTTTCCAGAAGAAATTAACCGAAATGTTTTCGAATTCAATGCATTAAAAAAATATTTTCATCAATAATTCATTATTTAATTGAAGCTCAGTAATCTTCATAACTCTGTAATGATAATCTTAAAAACGTCTTCACTAGTGACTAAGTTCATTAGGAAATTCTCCGAGTTCTAGTGTTAAACCGTGAAACCAGTGAAGTCCAACCATGTCAGGTGTAGGCAGTTACCCACCGAAGGCAATGGGTGAGGTTATGCAATACGTTGGATTGAATAAAGTCAGACATGAACACCGTTGGATGCCGACTGAGTAGTCTAGATTTGAAATGTTGACGAGCAAGACCAAAGATTCTGGATTCGATTCTTGCGAATGAGGGTTGGATTTGCTCACACTAATACGTGACTATCGTTCACTGCTTTCAGGTATTCACTAGTTGTCTAACAATAATCTATTGTTGGTTTCGATGAAAGACCAACGATTCTGGGTTCAATTCATGAGTGCGGGTGTCCTTGATGCACAATGCTTGTGAGTTCCATGCTAGGACTTATTGGTATATCAATACTTTCAGGTGTGTAATTCTGGCCTTAAAAATGATCGATTCATTATTTCAACGCAACTTAACAATCTTCAAACTTCATGATGCAAAATAATTCTTTTGTTGAAATTACAAAATTTTTCTTTATCACTTGACTACTTTATCACCCACAATGATAATAATAATAATAATAATGTCATATATTTTATGCAAACACTGTATACTGACTGACACAAGGTAACTAAATTTCTGTTTTGTCATAGATAACAGTATTTTTATTCTAAGCAAATATGTTAGTAATAGAAAAAATATCAGATTAATGTAAATGCAAAAAACATATGAACAGGAAAAATAGGAAAAAAATCGACGACTCATAGAGTGATGCAACATCTCCCAACAGATACAGGTCGAAATGAACTCTTCTGACTTTTGTCTTATTCATTTAGCTGATTGGTTGATGGATTTGGTGACTGTTCAATTGAACAATTGAATAAAATAAATTGATTTGAAAAAAATAAAAAAAATAGTGATAAAATGATAAATGATGCAGCATAGTTTAAAAGATATAAACTGTAAGAATAATAAATGGAGGAAAAATGAAAAAGTTAAATAAAATAAAAGATAACAAGATATTCCAGTTAGAAACTAAATAAACAAAAACCACAGCAACATAATCATTTTATAAAACAGATAAAAAGTAAAGTGGTAAAAACTGAAGAAAATAACAATTTGTTATTAACCCCCTGTGTGTGTGTGTATGTTATCAGTATTACTGATGTCATTGATGATAACGATATTAACAATAATAAGGTTTATTTTGTTTTTTATTTTCTGTTTGGTGGGATTATTTTCTATCAGGGAAATTTAATTTGTCTTTTTTTTTAAAATGTATATAAGAAAATTCTATTGTCAAATAGATGAATTTCGCCATCACCTCCCTCATTTAATATTTTTTTTTTAAGTAGAAAGATACGATAAAATAAGGTGCAATAATCATAATAACATGAAAAAAATGTAGAAAAGACAATGTGAAATAAACAAATGAGTCATTTATTTACATGAAATTGTCTAAGAAAATAAATCTGTTCATTGGAAACATAATAATACTTTGTAAATTTTTTTTTAAAAATAGAATTTCGTGCTGTTCTGAGAAATCATATTTAACCGGAGATACAGATGAGTAAAACTGAACTGAAGTAAGACATCAGTGTTTTTGGATGCCAGCTCAGTGGTCTAAAGATTAGGCGTTCTCACGTGAGACTAAATGATACTGAGTTAGATTCCTGTGAGTAGGGGTTATAGATGAGGAGTGCTGATGAGTCTCCTCATACTAGGAGACCAGACGGCCATTCGTTGCTTTCAAGTTTTTAATAGTAGTCTAACAATGATCAATTCCATTATCATAAGACTATGTATTATAGACTACTGAACTAACAGTTCATAACAAATAAATGTAGCTTTATATTTCATGCTTCCTTTATTTTGGTGGGAATAAATTCTTTCTGCAT